TTAGGTGTCTTCCAGAGTTTTTCCTCCTTGAGATGAAGATAGAAGCAAGTGGGTGAGGCAGCAAGAGGAGGGTGGGGGCTGTGTTCTCTTCAAAGATCCTCCAGAATCATTTCTAGATGATGATCAGCTTGGATCAGATGTACTTGGGGATTCTTGGTGGTTTTCCAGGGTAAACAATTTTCCAAGGACACATTTTCTTTGAGGATGATTTTTTTTTTTCAATAATTTGAGGGGAAATTTCTTTTATATTAAATCAAGCCAAGATATATAATGGATTCGAATATAAAATTCACCTGGATTTTAAAAATAAATTATGAGACTTCAAACACATATTGTCCTTGCGGTCCACTTTATACTTTTGTTTAGATCTCCCTGTATTATGATTCACTATTTTAAACTATTAGTTATATCTTGTTGGAAAAGTTTTAAAAGAACTATCCAAGAAATTAGACTGTGTCCTTAACATTCTCTTAGCTCTTTTGCCTCTTTCCAAAATTGGATCGAATGACACTATCTGTTTCCTACTGTTTTGACAGTGATCTGAGGGTATCATTGTAATTGATAATTCAGACTATACTACCCAATATGTAATAAAGCAGCCAGAAATCCCCATGATAAAGATGAGCTTTAAGTAGGTGTGGAGATGAACCAGGATTTATTTCATCAACATTATTTATTGAGAACCTTCTATGTGTTGGGAGCTGTTCTGGAAACTGTGATATAGCAGTGAACAAGACAGATAAAGACTTTCATGGATCATAACAGACCCAACAGAGAATGAATATCGATAAAAACTAATAAATAAGAAAACAAATTAAAACATTCCAACAGTGGTTTAACTTCTGGGATGAAAATAAAGCAAGAACAGCCTACTTGGTGTGGGTGATAGTGATGGCTTTCCTGAAGAAGTGACATTTGGCCTTAGACCTAAATAGGGTGAAGGAGGCAGTGAGATAAAAATGAGGGTAGAGTCTATGGCCATGCTACCCTGAACATGCCCGATCTCATCCAATCTCGGAAGCTAAGCAGGATTGGGCCTGGTTAGTACTTGGATAAGAGAGCACCTAGGAATATCAGGTGCTGTAGGTGTTAAAAAAGAAAAAAGAAAAAAAAAATGAGGGAAGAATCTTTTAGGAAGTGGCGATGGTAAATGCAAAGAACCTGAGACAAATTCGCTCTTTGGAAGAACAGAGAAAAGCAGTGTGTGAACCACAGTGGATGAGGAGTTAACTGGTTGGAGAAAAGATGGGGGCTAGATTATACAAGGCTCTCTAGGTCATAGAAAGGAGTTTGGCTAATCTTCTAACTATTATGTGAAATTAATGAAGAATCTTAAGCTGGGGAATGTCATCACTGTCCAGATCTTTCCAAATAGTAAAACCATCTCTTCCTGAACAACTTGGCTAAAAGAGATATTATGGCTATGGATACGCAGAACATGAAAGAAGGGCCTCAATTGAAATTGATCTCACTTAAACAGGGGAGGAGGACAAAATGGTAGCTGGGAGTGTTAAAAGGATGTAAGAGGATAACAACTTCTAATAATCAGTGAAAGGTTAAATTTTATTAAGAAGAAATATGGTATGTGTGTTATATATTCAAGAAGGAATTTCCACTCAAAACAATTGAAAAAGTCTTAAATGTTTACAATAAGCCTTTTAAGACACGTAGAAAAGTCACATAATATCTAGAGCTTTATTTCTAAAGAGCTCAGATTTCATTGTATAAAATATGAAATTTTGTTTATTTGTAATTTAACCATCTTGAGTCAAAAATACAAGGAAGTTTAAAGAATATGAATAACTTTTAAAATGACCAGTGTTTCTTTGATATAACCCTTCTAACCCAGGGCATTTAAATGAGATGGGGAAAATCTCAACCTGGAATAGAAAACACTGCCATCATGTTTCCAAGGTAAGAGAAGTAAAATAAGAAAAACAAAAACAAAAATCACCAACTCATTTGGAAGCTCATGAAAGGAAAGGAAGAGTTTGCACATCTCAAACTAATTTGCCTTGGCATGTGAATCATTTAACAGGAAAAAACACTGAACTGACTCAGCTTTAGTGAGCTCTTTCTGTCCCTGCTGAGGTCCTCGCTTTGTGTGGCCCCTGCTGCTCTCCTCAGACTTTGCTTCCCTCCTCCTTTCTCACTGTAGAAAAACAGGAAGGGATGTTTATTAATAAGACTGACTGGGGTCATGCCTAAAACGATATCAGATTTTTATCTCTCTTGGGTTTAGGAATGGTTCTAGGATCAAGGACTAGCTCCTAGTTAGAGTGAGGCAAGACTTCTGAAAAACAAACTCACAACTAGCATTTGACACAAGCTCTAAGAGCAACCTAGAGCTTGTCTGCCTGTACAAGGTCAGATCAGTTCCTCCTCACCCTCTGGTGAGGT